CTCAGGCAAAATGTAAAGTTGTCCACCTTTACCGTTTGCCCAGATATAACCATGATCCAGGAATTACCTAATCGGGGCGATCAGGGTTTAGAAGGGGGACAGTGTAACGGAAATGGCCTGGGGTACTCACGTTTGGAATGGGGGATCGAAATTCATGGTATTTCAGTAAATGGGAGCCCCATTTGGGCCCCATTTACTGTCAAATATGACACTGACAAGCGGGAAGTTTCGCACCTGTTCTGGAGATTTCTAGAACTATCTGGAATACCTGGAGAAAAGTATATAAGCGACGACGAGAACCAGACAGGGGGAGTAAAGTGACAGGAGCGACCAAGTGCAGAAGAAGTTAAACTCCGGGAGCCGGAAACGCGTGTTTTCCGTGTGTTATTGTTATTGTTAGTGAAGTTGACGGTAACTTTGAAGTTAGTTTGTTCCTGTTCCGTAGTTAAAGTTGTACCGAGTGGAATAAAAGTTGTAAGCAGAAGAAGGAGTTGAATACTCGGCCATCTACGGTACAATACGTTAACATAAAGAATCAAACACAATAAATGTGTATCAAGATATCCTCAATTCGTAACAACTCCATAAACATATTATTATTATATTCTATTATTATTATTTTACTTACATGACCAGGCGCGCCGCAAAATGTGCACACTTTTACTAAATGCCACTCTGAAACGACTGCCGACCGAAATAGGGTCTGTTTGATATAGGAATGAAGGGACAAATGTCTCGCGAACAACTACCTGGAAGAACGATGGCATCAGATTTAATGCATAGTATTTACAACAAAAAAACTAAAAAATGCGGCATTTTGCCGCGGGCGCGCCCGCTGACGGGTTAAATAATTACGAAGCCACAGGTATTTGCGCAATGTTAATTAGGCAGATTACCTTGAAAAACATTTCTGCCGTATTTCTGATATCGTTTTTTCCAAATTTCTCAGTTTTTAATAACAATTAATTTCTTTTACTATTTTTTCTGTACTCCTATAACAGCGCCAGACAACACCTCCAGAGGAATGACGC